TTTCGTATAGCATTCAATTGTTTTATGGTTGCAACATCTTCTCTTACCTCTCTTGAGAGTACTAATTTTTCTTAAGGATATTGGATTCTTAAAAGATTTCCACCTACCTTCTCCACTTTTTGTCTCTTTCAAGTTCCTTAGTTTTTCTTTTGGTCTTTGTCTATCATTTTAGAGACTCTCCTGAATGTTTATTAATCCTCATCTAATCATGTAAGAATGGGGATTTAAACAGCTGATCACTTGTATGTATAGGCAAGGTTTGTTGAAGGGTTGTTGTTCAAATGACTTTGTAGTCCAGTGCATTAGCCCACAGCATCACACCAGGACACCTAGATGTCACTACAGTGTGATTTAAAAGCAACCTCCAACAAGATGGACTGGCCAAGTGGCAGTATCGATGGACTCAAGTGCGGCAAAAGTAGTGAGGTTGGCCCAGGATCAGGCAGTGATTCGTTCTGCTGTGCATAAGGTCGCTATGAGTTGGTACCGACTCAATGGCACCTAACAACAACAAAAGCAACCTGGCTCTTTTGCTGGGGGATTTTCAACTTACATCCAGTGCTCTCTCTAGGAGTATAAGATTCACCGCTAGCATTCTGAGGGCTAAGTGGAGAAAGACAACTGAGAGATTTGCACTAAATTTTAGTTCAGCACTGCCCTCCACTAACATACACACATACATCAATTCTGCCTGGAGTTCCTACTAGAGCCTCTCTGGTTCAATGTTATTTAAAGTAAATTATCTTTTTTTCTTTGTTTAGAAGAGTGAGACAACTGCATAACTGGGAAGTCTTTCCAAGAAGTGTGCTCCTGTTTTCAACTCCCCTTCATGAGAACCTGATGACTGGTCATTTTTTTTTGGAAGGCGGGGTGTTCTGCCTCTGATATTTACTTGCTGCTTCTTTGATTTCTCTGATTTAGGTTTCAGCTTTACTGACTTGGTTAGGTCAATGGCACTTGACAATCTGATTTCCATCTTTCAAAATTATACTGACATCTCTCAAACTATTGTCTCTCTTGTGGTTTGTGGGCTTATACTCCCCCCAACACAAACACACAAACACTCACACATTATCCTTTAGTATTATTTGTTACATGTTTTAAAAATAAAAATATCTAGAAAGATATTCACCAAAATGTTAACCGGGTTGACCTCTGGAAACAGAAAAGAGAAAAATCTATTTCATTTATCATTTTATCAAATTTGGTACTTCCTGTTTTACAATGAGCATGTACTACTTTTAGAATTTAAAAATATTAAGTGCAAGCTACTGGGAAATATGGTTTATATTCTATTTTTTAGGGAAAGAAAGGTACAGATCATTACTAACAATGCCTGGCACATGGTATATTCTAAATAAACATTCTTAAATTGGTCAAAGTCAGACTAAAAGAAACATATTTGCTAGGTCCAAGGATTAATCCCACAACCCTGAACTCATCAGCATCTACGAAACCCTAACGTGCTTGTTTGATTTTAAGTTACAGAATAGGCTTACCTTCAATAGGATACAAATAGCACAAGCCATGCCTACAGCACCTGTTCCAACTACGGTGATCTTGCACTGAGAAATCTTATCTTCTGCAATTAAATTCTCTATAAGCTGTTCCTTGACAGTTGACATTTTGAGAACCTGTTAGAGATAATCCAATTTTAGTGGATTCACACTCTAATCATTCTTGTAATTATCCACGTTACTGGGTCGCTATGAGTTCGAACGATTCGACAGCAATAAAGATGTAAGGACCTTGCCTCTTGAGTTTGCAGAAAGTTGGGAGGGTTGAGAAAAAGTCAACGACAGACTTTCCAGCTTGGGGGGGGGGGTTGGGGGTTGGGGGAGGGGGTGCAGCGCAGTAGATCAAGGGCCAGTCTATCCGTGGAAAGGATTGGGCACCAATAGGTTTTTGACTTCTCCCGTCCCCAGTTACCATATTCACCCAAGTACCAGACGCTCACAAGTGGTTTGCTTAGTGCAATTCAGTACAGACGGCCAGAAGTGCAATGCACCGCCTTTAACGATGGCAGAAAACTGACACCAGAAATAACCAGTAACACCAGTTGAAGTGCTAAACCCGCCGACAGTTAATTTCTTAGTCCCAGCGCACGCACGCACGCACGCACGCACGCACGCACGCACGCACGCACGCACGCACGCACGCACGGCTCTCCTTCAGCACGCAAGCCCCGCCCTTGGCCTGCTCTGGCGCATGCGCATTCTCTATCACCTAACAGGCTCTTGACCTGAAAGGAAACTTTGTTGTGATATAGAGCAGGATAACATTTATGTTAATTGTAGGCCGGCCAGATGAGACAGCAATAAGACTGGAATATTGCACTGTAATTTGATTTACCTCAGTTGTCCTGGGACTGATTTTAAGACCCAGGTTTCTTTCGTAACACCACCAATATTGATAATGAGCCAGGCTCCAAGCTCTGCTAAGTAGCTCTGGTAGTGTAGTCGTTGAGTTGGACTGCTAACCTCAAGGTCAGCAGTTCGAAACTACCAGCTGTTCCTCGAGAGAAAGATGTTTCTGATCCCATCAGGATTTACAGCCTTCAGCTTCGGAAACCCTATACAGGTTCACTAAGAGTTGGAACCTACTGCACAGCACTTAACCACGATGGTCTTGCTTAAGATAAGCATGGTCAGCAGTTCCAACTCATCAGCCACTCCTCCGGAACCCTATACAAGGTTACTAAGAGTCTGAACAGACCGATGTCATATGATAATGCTAAGAGAGTGGTTGACCTAACTTTTCTAGGTTTTGAAATGGCACTGTAGGTTAATGCAGTCTGTTCGAACCACAAGGTCAGCGGTTCAAACTCACCAGCCGCTCCTCGGACACCCTGTATAATATAGAGTTGCCATGGGTTGGAACTGACTCGATGGCACTTAAAACTGAAGGGTCATGTTTGGGTTTGTAATGAGTTTGAGAAACATACTTTCAGATTCACTTAATACACCCTTGCCCATTCGTTTCCATGTTTGTTTTTAATTATTAAACTCCGTAACCTCTGATCTGAGCCTTAAATTTGCTGCAATTAGCATTTTGTCAAGTACAATAAGTAGTAATATAAAGGAAAGGCTAAGTCTAGTTTTCTAAGGGGTTTATTTACACCAAGTATTTTACTCAGACTGGCAACATAACCATTTTCAGAGTCTCGAGCCAAGTATTTGCAGATAGTCTTCTGTAAAACCCTGTTGAGTCTGTTTCAACTCTTAGCAACCCTTATAAAGTTCATAAGGATCAGCTGGGACTCCAGGTATGGCACTGTAAGATCAGAACCGTTAGACTGCAAACCACAAACCCACCGGCTGCTCCCTAGAAATCCTACACAGGTTTGCTACTAGTCAGAGTCAACTCAATGGCACTTAACATGGAGTAGTAGCTTGTTACACTGGGACCTTGAACAGTCAGTCCAGTGCTTATCCTACAGTGCCACACCAAGACTTCAGAATAAGCCTGCAGTGCTTTATGTATAATTCAGATCATGCAACAAACCTACTTAAAACTCTTACATGGCTTTCTATTACACATACAACTAATTTTATAGCCTAAAAAGCCTTCAAGATCTGAACCTCTTATCCCTCCAACCTCATTTCAAGTCGCTTTTCCTTTCACCACACTCCCATCAAACCAGCCTTTGGAAATGTTTCCTGGAAGAGTCCCTGGGTCATGCTAATGATCAGCAAGCACAGCAGCTAGCTGAAAGCTTAGCAAGAAAGGCCTGGCAATTTTCCAAAATATCAGCCATGTGGTAGCCATGAGTCAGAATTAGCTCAACAGAAACTAGTAGGTATGCTCTAGAAGCAGTATGTTCAAGCCTAGCCTAGGGTCATAGTATAGAAATGCTTTGAGGGGAACCAGTGAGAACCACCAGATCTATTTGGTTTATTGTTGTTATGGGTTATGTTGTGGATTTCTAGTGGGCACAGTTCATTGCTTTGTCCAGTTCAAAAAAAATTTTTCACATTTGTGCATGTATATTCCCTATGTGAATTATAGTTGGTTGGTTCAAGCTCACCAGCTGCTCCTTGGAAACCCAATACAGGGTTGCTATGGGTCAGAACTGACTCAACACTTAACAATGTCATGCTCTGTCAAGATCTGTTTCAAACCCACCAGCTGCTTCTCAGAAACCCTAAACAGTGTCACTGAGTCAGAACTGACTTGACGGCACTGAACAACATACCAACAATATAATAAATAGCTTTGTGACTTTATAAGGAACTCTGGTAATACAGTGGATTAAGCATTGGGCTGTTATACACAAAGTAGGCAGTTCAAGCCCACCAGCTACTCCTCGTAAGAAAGATGATTGAGGCTGTCTATTTCTGTAAGGGTTTAATCTCAGAAACCCAAAGGGATAACTCACTATGAAACAATTTAATTTGGCTACTATATTTTATATCTTAATGTAATAAATTAACAGAGTTGTCACTGTTCATGGTTTATTTGGTGTTTTAGTTGGTATGACAGATAGTTACAATGTTTATATGTAGCTTTTTTACATTACTTGGCAATGTACACTACTCTGATAAATATCATACACAAAATAAGATCTTTTAGGACAATTATGCACAAGACATGCGATATTGGATTTACATACTGGAGCCCAGGATGTGACTGGGAAAACACATTGGGCATGTTGAATGTAAGAACCAGCATTGACATAACAACACACAGTAACCACATTCTTCTGATTTGAAGGGCAGTGGCAGGATGGCAACATTGGATTGGCAGTGGTGTCTCAGAGGTGGCGTAACTATTGTATATGAACCAAGTTACATCTACACGAGGTTTAGTATTGTCCACCAGCAGGCGATAGCTGTAGGGTTTTATGGACCATTCTTATGTCTGACTTTAGGAAAACAGATGTTATTCCTTGGACATAATTTTACTGCTTTAATCACAGATCAGATAAAAAGGACAACATGCACAACCCCCCAACTAAAATCCCTTTGCAGCCTAGACAGTGAAGTGGTACTACGGCAGATTTAAAACTGCAGCTCTTTCTGGATGCTCCACAGTGTATCGGCGCTCTTCTTCAGACGGGCCTCTTCCTCAGGAGTCAGCGCCACCTTCACAACATCCGAGATCCCATTCTGTCCCAAGATGCAAGGAACGCTAAGGAAGACGTCATCTTTAATCCCATAGAGTCCCTGAGGGCAAAATGAGAATTCTTTTACATTCTGTCAGCATTATTTTACATTCCCAAGACTTTCATTCTCTAACATGAGGCTTACTTAATACAACTTGAAAGAAGAAGTAGAAATTTCTTCCCAGATTTCCAGTTAAGGACAGTATAAAATAAAGCCAGTGAACTAGCAGCAAGATTTCCACTCTAAAAGAAAACCTGAGCTATTGTTGTATCTACAGTATTTTCCAGTTTTTATTGTATTATACTTTGATAACTTGAGTGTAATATATTTTTTCTCCAAAAGAAAAACCTATCTCTTTTTAGTTTTCCACCCACCTCAACATAGTTGAATGAGGAGAGTTTTTTTTGGTGCTGCTAGTGAACATAACTGTAAAGCTTAGCCTCTACTTGCCCAAGAAATGTGGATGTGTGAATCAGTGTCACTAAATCAATATTTAAATTAATAGTTTAGAGCCTGTATTAATCTCAAATTCACTTTTTCAGAAGAAATTCTTATTTAAAAAACCCAAAAATAATGGCATGCAAACACATCTCTGCATATAAGCTCAAAATCAAGCCCAATACCACTGAGTCAATTCTAACTCATCGGGACCCTAACAGAACACAGTAGAACAGCCCTGGTAAGGCTTCCAAGGTTAAGGTTGTAATCTTTTACAGAAGCATGCTGCCATGTATTTCTCCCATAGAGCCACTGGTGGGTTTTAATCACCAAGCATTTGGTCAGCAGTTTAATGCTATAACTGTGTAGTGTTTCTGAGGCTATAAATTTTTACAAGAGCAGGAAGCCTCCTTTTTCTACTGCAGAGTAGCTGATACATTCGAACTACTGAACTTTTGGTTAGCAGTCCAATGTGTAACCCACTATGCCACTAGGGATCCTTGTATAGGGTTCCAGTAAGTGGCTGGTGGGTTTGAACCGCCAACCTTATGGTCAGCAGTCTAGCAAGTGCTTATTACACTACAGTGCCACACCACAGACCTACCTTAATCATGGTGGAAATTGGATGTACCCGCCTAAGATTCTTCATTATGCTTTCTGCCAAATCTGCCACAGAGAGTCCAATGGCCCAGGAGGTATAGCCTTTCAGTTTGATCACCTCATAAGCACTTTAGGATACAGAAGGGCAGAGAACAGCAGGAAAAGTAGGGCAGGAAAAACAAAAACATTCACTGAATATACCATCAAAAACTGCCGCAAAACCTAAGAGTAACTCTTGCACATAAACACCAGGACATACGTATGTTGTTGTTAGTGCTGTTGACTCGGGTTTCGACTCATAGCAACCCTGTACAGGGTTTCCAAGGAGTGACTGGTGAGTTTGAACCTCTGACCTTGTGGTTCAAACTAACCTTGAGGTCCAGTGTATTACCCCACAGCACCACACCAGGACTCCAATGTTCAGAGCAGGACTGCTCATAAACAAAGCCAGGCCTTTCAACAGAACAGACAACTTGTGATATATTCTCACAATGGAATATTACAAAGTTGTCAAAATAAATGAACTGTAACCACATGCAAAATGAAGCCAAGAATCCTAGAAATGTAATTTTTTCAAAGTTTATAAAATTTAAATCTCATTAACAGTGATTAAAATCTCCAGAAGCATGTTGAATGGTAATAAGCAGGCATCTAATGTTTTTCCTGATTTTAATAATACCTTCAGCATTTCCTCATTAACTACAAAGTATGCTGCATTTATCAGTTAAGCCTTTCTTGAATTCACTTATTTTTAAGCACCAGCAGACTTATAATTCTGACTAGACAGACACTGTAGTTATTTCTTAGTTACTAACAGTGTAATTGATAATACTGATGTCGTGTCTGTCAATCGATTTCAACAATTTCTAACAGTTATGAGTTAACAAGGGGCTTTCAGAAGGTTTGTGGGAAAATGGACTTAAAAGATACTGTAAAATGTAGAAGATATGAAGTTAAAAGGTGGGAGTAGTTAATCATTCACTCCAGGAAGAGCTAGGTCCATCAAGAGGAAAGAACGTGAGTGGAGTGTGGGATCCTAACCAGAAAAGCAGTGATAAGAGAGAAAGCAGCTGAGGACTCTAGGTCCATGGAATGAGACTGTGGGCAGGAAGCTGGCTCGCAAAATGTGCCTTTGGGATATTTAAATGAATATGTATTTTCTGTACATCAAAAAGAAAAAAAGAAATAGAGGTAATACTGTTATAACCAATGATGTAGATGCAGGGGACTGTAATCCTTGAATGAAACAAAATGATTGGTTCAGTGTAAAACTGGTAATCTGCCCTGTAAACTACCACTCAATTCACAATAAAAGCTAAAAAAAAAAATAATAAGATAATGTAATATTCCCACAAACTTCTTAATAATCTAAATAAACAAGAAACTAGCTGTGTTCTTATTTATATAGACCTGGTATGACACTGAGGATTAATGAGCTGGACTGCAAGGTCAGTAGTTCAGGCTCACCAGCCGCTCCTCAGAAATCCTATACAGGGTCGCTATAAGTCAGAACTGATTCCACAGCACTTAACAACAGCAACACAATGAATAGGAACTTAAGATTTGAAAGATTTTATACCTAACTGAATAAATCTTACATGCTGTTGAAGTGAAAGAATAACTCCCAGAAAGGGTTGACTTAATCTTTCTTGGTTTATCTTAACAAGTTACAACACAAGCACAGAAAGATTAA